TAGAGACAATTTATTAATGAGGATAAAAGATTTCCTAGTTGAGCGTCAACAGAGAGTGCGAGTGAATTTCAAGTTGTTTATCTGGGGAGCCGTGCTTAGCGGAGTGCCTCGGGGTACAGTTTGGGGGCCTCTTGTATGTAAAAAACCCTCCTGGTCTCCTAATATCATCGGTCTTGCTATATACTGACGACGTCAAGATATGGAGAGCGATAAAAAGTTCGGTTTATAATTTAGAGCTTCAAAATGACCTGAAAAATGATCTGAATGGTCTCAAAATTGACAGTTTTCGATAAATACTTTCAAAGTGCATTGTGATTCATAACGGTCATCAAAGTATAGATACATGAACGACGGATAACATTGAGCTACCTGTTGTCCAGACACAAAAAAACCTTGGAAGTCATCGTTGGCCAATACTTAAAATCTACTGCACACTGTCGTGCGATGACTGCCAAAGGTTTTAGGACCCTATGGCCAATACGGCGGTTCTTTGCCATGTCGACGCTAAAACCTTTTTGACTTTGTATACCGTATTCGTGTATCATACACTTGAAAACTGCATACAAGTAGTTGACCACTGTTTAAAAGGTAGTGAGCCTTTGGTAAAGGTTCAGAGGACCGCAAATAAGCTGATTTCCGCAATAGAAAAGCTCCCGTATGATCCTCGACTGGTTAAACGTATCTCCATTGTCGTATAGAAGAACCAGAGAAGACTAGATTACCGTTTTGAAATTACTTAACGATAAATTTGCATTTGATATGCTCTCATTTTTCTAGCCTTTTCAAGACAGAATTTACGAGGACACTCCACAGACAGTAGTGGAAAGGAACCAAAGTATATTAGCAAGTGTCGAATAACATCTGTGTATAATTACTAACTGACGAGATACAAGAACACGGAGTTAAGAGAGCGTGCGGTCATATCCAGTAATTTCCCGACAGAGGCAGCTAACCAAATAGTGTTTTTTGTGAGCCATACACTCACTAGTTTTTACCGGTCAAAATGCCTATGATCGCTCTCCGGTTTTCACAGAGTTCTGGTTTATCGTGATATCAAACGATATAGTTCATCTATTTCTGTGAACAGAAGTTCCGGCTGGTACACTCGGAAATCCGACCACGAATTTGAATGTGCTAGCATGTCTAATAAATTGATAGCTACCAATCTACGATAAATTTTCAAACTTAAGCTGATAGACAGTTTATGAGCCTTATCATAAATGAGCTTCTCAACGTTCGGTTAATTAAACCGCTGCGCAACAAGATACGTGCGTTAGATTAATTTCAAAAATAGTAAAGATCAAATAGGTAAATGATTGTGATTCACAGGTTGGGGTCTCTGAACGTGTACAAAAATGACTACAGAAATAAATAGAACAAAGAAACCGAATGAAAGCAAGTCATATGCAAGGTTTATTAAAGTCTTGATTGCACAAAAGTGCAACCCTAAACATGAGTCCCAAAACAGTTTTTGTTGACTATAAACATACCCTGGCAACAATGATTTATGACTAAGCCTGATGGTACATATGGTTTTCTATATAGTTTACTTACTATGTTTTTTAATTAAATTCTTTTTGCTCATTAAACCTGTTACTTTAACACTTATGCATGCAATCACACCGTTCAAATGTATTGCTCCAATATACCACAAGATTATGATAACTTTATTATTACATTATTGAAGTTACATTATGACTTTAGGTTACTCTGACGTCCCCAGTAAATCTACCCTTTTTTAGATTTTGGCTAATCAAACATGACTCGGCAATCTTAATCAACACTGTTTATGGCAAAATACTGGAACAGTTTATGTATAGAACAATCAAACTGACGAAGTACTGTTACCCACGTTCCTATGTTCATTTCATTAGTTTAATATATGCCAACGTTTTTCAAATTTCGATTTGTCCTACAAGAACAAAGTAAAATAGAGATGTCTGATCAGCATTTTTGTGATAAGATTCATACAACTTGTCACATAACGCGTAAACGTTTACTGCCAATGTCAGACAACAACACAAAAGCAAAGTTTTGTGAAGAACTCATTGATACTTCAACTTCGTTCTACATTAACCGATTTTAACGATTAAAGATATCTTTGAAGGCATATACATGGTCGTGGTTGCAAATATAATTTGCAGGACTTCGAAAAAGGTGTGTGATACAAAACCACCTAAACAATGTGACTAATAAGATTACAGGAGTATCGAAGTACACTGGCTGTTCGGATATATCGTCTTCAACTAAAGTAGTGCATATATCAGCAATCTAGTTAAGGACCTACTGCCAACTATGTTACACGATGTGATAAATGCATGGGGTGACTACACACGAAATGCACATATCCCACGGAGGCTGCTTGACACAAACTTAATGAACTGTGATCGCAAGTGTGTACGTGTCATCTGTGATAGAAGTACTGAGGAGCCGGCGAGTAATATAATTCTTCTGACCAAGTTTAACAAAAAATACCCTCAATGATAGGGAAAGGCGGTAAGTTCTAAGCTTATAACCAATCAGTGATAGATCGTGAGACGAAAAAATGAACTCAGACATAGCGAGTAGTGATAGACCAAGCACCGACGTCACTGCGGATATACTGCAACTAGGCGCTGTGGTATGATTAAGCATCGGATTCTCTTGATAAGCTAGTGTCGTCTAGAGTATACACCCCAACAAAAAGAGTGCTCACCTTGAAATTTGTGGAAGACAACGAATGGACCCATATATGATCAGGTCGGTGAGAATCAAAGGTCGCACTTAAAAAGATGTTGAAAGCCTGAATATTAGAAGAATACCAGGTTTTGTGTTGTAGCCACAAAATCCACCCCCAAAGCCATTTAACTACTTACTAGAAATCGTAAAACTGTGAACCTCAATCCAGTAAGTTCATCAGACGAATCTTTAGAATGGTCGGAAGCTTGAGTGATAGGTCAGGATTCGGGGCAATTTTCATGTTACAGTTAATTTCAAATAGTTTGTAACAGCCTCTTTACCACAGTCTTCTGCAAAAAACCATGAGATGTTGTAGAAAGATACAACTTGGGAGCCAGGGCGCAACGGAAAAAAGACGCTGAAACTTCCTCCACAGCACTTCATTGGACAATATTGTCACTTATTTTTCCTTCACGCTGTGTTGTATTTCAACCTTCATTATTATTATTATTATTATTATTATTATTATTATTAGCTTTATTCAATATTATAATTTTGGTACAATATAGAATTCTCAGCGCAAAGTATTTCAACAAGTTTCCGTTTCTTTCTTCTTGGTCGGTCCTGGCGATAAGTATTGAAGAATCGCCAGTTAGATGTTAGCACTTCAGTGAATGAACAACTAAATAATGTACATTCTTTTCGTTGTACATTGCCAGCAACCATATTGTCTCTTATTGAGTTTTCTGTAACTTTGACAACGAAAGGTTGTACACTTTTCAGAAACGCAGCAGAATAGGTTATGCGATTGATAAACATAATGATATATTAAAACAAACAACAATAGATAACTTGTTGAAATATCAAGATGGCAGGAACAGGTAGCCCAGATGCTCAAGCAGGCCGCCCGTCTCTTCTGACCAAACTTAATGTCCTTCAATATTCCTCATCTGAGCTTTTATTATGTGACTTTGTTTAAAAACTCTTTGTTTGTTAGATGGTTTTACTCTAGCATGTTGACGAACTATTGACAATAAGGTCGCGTTTGACTAAGCTCAAAGACAAGGCGTGGTTCAGTGCATGATTTAATTTTTGACTGTTTGTTTGGAAAGGTTGCTGTAATTCCTGCAGATAGATATCCAGTTCTATGTTGTTAGAAATACTACTATTGATCCCCAGGTATCGAACTCTTGTTTGTTCACTATTCCCTTTGTCGTTTAGCACGCCAGTTCATGTTTCAGAAACCCTTGATTGTATAGCACAGTCTGTACCATTTGAACTATTCCGTATTTTTGTTGGTTTGTTCTCTTTCTTGAATTGGAACCGTTTACACTGAACGAAAATTTGCTTTTTGATGTAATTTAATATGAGTCACTCAGAGACGCTCCGTATTCTATACAGAAGAATGTAGTCTGGTCGTTAATATTACGTTCAAACAGAATTTTGGCATTTCGGACGTTGCACAAAACTTTAAATTGAAACACTATTATGATTATTAATGGCTTTATTCAATATTATATTTCGGTACAATATAGAATTCTCAACACAATCATACGGCTTCTTCAGTGAAGAAATACTAAACACCCAACCCATTCAATAGTATTTCGAGCTACGTTTGCCAGTGCTGATGACGTAAAGAATGTCTGACAGGCTAGTTATTAGATCACGTCTGATTGAAATGTGTGAATTTTTCCAAATGCACCGTATTTGGAGCAATTTCATAGGAATATTAAGAAACGTTAGGGAAAAAGTAAGCAACATAAATGCACATGGAATTCGAAAAAATACATTAGCATTGGTTCCTAACCCCAAGATCCTCGAAGCTGGACACACAATAAATGAGAAGACTTACATTAAGCGCTGAACACTTGAAGAAGGTCAGAATAGGCTAAGAATGGAACATTTAATCGAGACGGCATGGCTCAGTTATCCAGGCCTGGTCACTGTGTAAACTCTTGTTTTTTATACAAAAATTTTTATTCTTTTTTTAGACCGAATGTATCCTTCAAGGGTTCGTATAAAGCATACTTCTGACTGTTATAAATAGAACGGGATACCATAGTCAATGATGTGGATTCCACATAATATCTTATAAATTGAGCAGTAATCACGGGAAATTAACAATATTGGATTGATTTTATTGCTCTAGTAGCATAGGTAAGTGCAATACTACCGACCTAAACCTAAATCCTAGCAAACCATGAAGCTTGGGGACTCAGCTTTTTATAATCAGAGATGGAAGCTCGAGACACATATCAAAGCTCAGAGGTATTCAGACCCCAAATCCATTTGGCTGACTGGAAGTGGCACTAAATCCCAGGCAACGAATTTCTATCGAAGGTAATGGCTGTCATTCTCGTGAACTTTTGCGCAATCCGACGACAGATGTCTTCTGAAATCCTTGTACAATCGGACAAACCACGCGAAGACATGATAAAACATAACCAAAGCAAACTAAAATTGGCGACTTCGCTAGCGGATCATAAAATACAAAAGGCTGTGGAGAAGCCAAGAACTATTCAGCTGAAAATAATAGAGTAATAAAGTTCATTGGCTATGCATATGAGGCTCATTCAGACGAGAATACTGACAAATAACACGATTTCCGAAGAAAATATAATGGTTGCTTGTGAGAAATTGTTGCAACTTAAAAAAACTGCGTACAAGCCATGTTAGCTAAGTAGTTGAGACAAGGCTCGTCTGGAAGTTGTGAGAGATGCACAGACATTTGTTAGAATTACGGAGTAGGGTTAACTCTACAGGGTATGTTTTTATTCCACTTGATGCAGATGCCAGTGATAACTGTCACTGCACACAACCTCGCTCTCTGCAATCCTGTTGGTTCCACAAATGATTGGTAAGTACTTGAGATCATACAGAATCTCTTCCTTCGAACAACAAACAGAAAGGACCATACTAGTTAAAATTCAAAAAGTCAGAGACGAAATAATTAACAGGAAGTCCAGACAAACTAGTAACAAATAAAAGAAGGCCCTAAGGAAGGGCGGGAACCGATACCAGACTGATTTAGTGGACAAACTTTTCACCAATCTCTGAAGCCTATTCCGTCACGCAGCATCCACGAGTGGGTCAATAGGAATCTCGAACGTGAAGCTATAAACTGACCTGTTGCACCGCAGATCGCGTCTTCTAAAATGTTCCATATCCCCTGGACTGGACGTAAAGCTCTATTACAGAAAAGCTTGAACTGATAACTTTGAAGGGCATTTTCGGCTTCCCACTTAATTTTCATCACCTTTATTTAAATTCCTTTAACACATAGAAATACAGTATTCCTTCCTTTTTCTTCAAGGACTAGGGATGCTGTAGAACTTATTCTAAGGTTAGACAATAAATCATGTCGTGTGCAAATGTACAGGCCTCATACTGTCCGTCTAGAATCACTGCACCCTTGCCTTTAAAAAATATAAGCTACTCAAAGGTGATCACCTGACGACATACCCCTGAGCACCCTCTGGAAGTCCATCTAAATTCATGGTCAACACAAACCATGGGGGTGATACCCAAAAATCAGAGGCAAAATACGGCGAACAGGAAATTACACGCACATATTTGACCTACTCTTTGCCGATAGTCAGACCCCGGAATTCTCTGGCAGCTGGGGTGATTCAAACAACTTCCTGGATGTTCGTCAAGAAGAAATTTGATGTATTCTAGGCCCTAGACATCATAGCATTTTAACCTAATATTTCTCTTTCGTTTGTTGAATATACCAACGTCTCGACATGAAGACATCGATGAACAACTACTAGACACACAAGCTGTTTTAGACTCCGTTCACAACCACTGGAATTCCCACCTTGACATAATAACGATGATTTTTTGAACTTCACACAAAGGTTTGAAAGTCAATAAATTGATTATGATATTTTCGGCGGGGCGTAAAACTTGCTCGGTTACAGTCATATGTTATTCTTTTTCACATGTTATCGTAAATTGTCCGCCTATCAAAATTTACAGACGTAGTTATTCCACTCATCGACGTTAAACCTTGTTGTTTTTTCTTCCTTAAATTGGCTGCTAGTTGAGTGCGTGAGGTATTATGTCTTTACGTAACCCTTTGATTTAATAAGAATGGATATGTTGTACTGTGCATATATTGACATTAATAAAAGTAGAAAGCCTAAGTGTTCAAGTCAATCTAGTTGCTTGTTGTCGTTTCATCCCTCAGCTAGATCCGCTCGTTGATTTTCCTCATGCATGAAGAAAACCATGTTTTTTTCGGTGTTTTTCAAATTACATCCCAAGTTGTTCATAGATGATGTAAGGTAAAAATAAAATCGTTTTGGCCTGAATCATCCTTCTGAACAGGCAACGCCTGGTCCAGTATTTTAAGGTCTTGGTTCTGATTATCTGAGTGATCGTGGTTATGAGTCACAAACAGGTACGAAGCGTTCTCTGATTTCTGTGGTTCCTCAGCCAGATTTAGTTCGTAATAAATATTGCATCATCTATCCAAATAAGGAGACATCTCTTAATCCGGTTAGAATGCCTCATTTGGTATTAAAGGCTTAATCTGTACTTGGACATAAATGTTTCTACAACTAGGTTCGAAACTCAGTACATATTTTAGAGATTATAATGTCATTTTGGAGTAATACCTTGTTTATTCATTTAGACAGTTATATCATGGTAGGCAGATTTAGTTAAATTCACAGTAGTCTCTTGTTCTGTACATTAAAAATACTGCTTCACTCATGATTGAACTGTGTCATGTTCAGATTCCTGTTCTCTAATCCTAAAACATCTGTTTGTACTATCTAGTCAATTTATTTATTTGTTGTTTTTCGTTTGAGATTGCTCGAACTAATCGTCATGGAACTACCACCTTTTGAATTACTTTATACTACGTCAGATATACTTAATGAATTAGAAACTGCACTTGAAGAGTTGGATCAAAGCAAGCTTTTCAAAGATGTGGGAAGGCGTAGACGTCGGAGGAGAAACGGAGGACTATATGGTGTAGGGTTTGAAGCAGAAGATCCCGATTATTATAATCCAGTGGGGATATGCTGTGATATCGCCTTCTACACTAATGAGGAATATAAAAGACATTTAGATAGTCATGTTAAAGTAAGTTTTGCTCGGTTGTCAAATAATATTTGACCAAGTGTCCTGTTGAGGGCTGCCCATTTACGTCACATCAGAAAGCAATGCGTGTCCATCAGGAAGTGGTCAGTAAATCTCTATAAATTGTCATTTATATATCCTTTTTACAGATTCACAAGAGTGGTTTGTTTAATGTCATCTACCGTGAAACTTGCGATAAGTCAGTAAAAGTTTGGAGAGAAAGCCGTAAACGGTAAGACTTCTTCAACTAAAGTATCAGTAGGGTTTCCCTTTTATAGGAACCCAGATTATTTATCTTTTCTGTAAAGTATAAAAGACATTGGTACTGTAAAAGTTTTTTCCTGTATTTGTGAATGGTGTGTTTTAAAGAACATAAGAACGACTAACCTGTTGATTACTACGGTTTTTCTCGTGCAATTACCATAACGATTGATTCAAATAAGATATGAAGTATGGTCTTTTACATAAAAATCAGTAGACTATGCGTTCTAGTAACTATTCGAATTTATTTTGCAACAAGTTTAAAAGCTACTGAAAGACAAAGCGTACTAACTAGGTGCTTTGTTCTCTGCAGCCCATTAGAACTGGACATTTTTAATGGTTTTCTTACCTATAAAGTGACCTCTGAGTAAATAAGGTGAAAGTTGATTGATACTCAAAAGGTTTATGGCCGTACTCAAAATAAAATATTACTTATTTGCAGTGAACGTAAGAGCTATCATGAAAGCTACACACTTCACATCATTTTATTTATTTAAACAGTCAGTCAGTCAGCTACAACATATATTTATTTATTTCAACACATAAATATTGGTACAAGAGGGCACCAAATATATATGCGCCACATCATATTTGTGTGTGTGTGGGCTGTGATACTCCCCGGGTGCCCAAACCGAAGCAGGTGGTTTTCTTAGTAGGCCACACCCCGAGCTTTCGACCTGAAGATCTGATCTACAAGGCAGTGGAGCATCGTAAGGAGATACAGTCCCATGGAAGCCGGTGGCCAACGACTAGTTCATACGTCATTTGTTCCCACAGGATACTGGAGCCCATGTGCACCATTGGTTTGGAATCCGGTTAAAGCGCCGGACATTCGCTTTTCGTCCTTCTATTTCCGTAAACAACACCCCCGCCACGAGAAGGCAGTGAGTAGGACTTCCTTGGAAGAGGCTTTATACGCGTGGCCATGTGAGAGCATTTCGAGAGGGAGAGCTGACTCTCCCCACTCTCGGCCGTACCAGGGCATTTGAGGGCATCTTATGTCCATCTCTTTTCAGCCGTAAATGTATTTTTATTCCATTCGAAACCACATTCTATTTAATGTGTTTAGTATTATTTATTCAAACATAAGCATTGGTACAAAGGGGAACTTAAATATGTATACGCCACGATAAAAACAAGCTTGTAGAAATGGAAAAAGGAAGGTGATTATAATAAAAGAAAAAAATGAACAAAAATTAGTGTGAAAGTGAGAATAGTAATAACAACACCAGAAGCCGTAGATCGATGCATAATTGGTCAGTCAGTCAGTCAGCTACAACGTAGAACCAGGCACATATGTGCATCGGTCCAGGTTGCCATACCGCATCAGCACAACAAGATGGACACCGGATTCATAGCAGTGGTTAGGTCAAAGGTATTTTTGAATCTTTTTTCATCACTCGTTTAAGCAGCCAGTTAGCAACATTAGCTTTTACATCCAATGTTTGGCTTAGATCCAGCCATGCAAATCTTGACTTAATAAATTGTGTCATTACTAAAGCTAGGAATGAGAAGTTTGAAAACCCTTGGTTGTGACATTCATTCTAACTTTTCTACTGAATTACCAATGTTTATTTCTTCAGTGTTCTTTAATGTCTGATTGCTTTAATTTCCGTTTATATTATGCCAAAAATTGTATTTTAAAGTGATAAATTTCTAGATTTTCATTATTTTGCAGTTTACCCAAATTGGACACATGGTATTGAATGATCTCTTTCTACACTAAATGTCACTATTTCTTTTGTCAAATGATTATTTTGGTGTATCGTAATAAATATCACCGACGTTTTTGTATTGTTCACTCTAATTTCTCAGAAATTATCCAACTATGGAGCGAGTTGAAGCGAAAAAGAAGCTTATTGAAGAACGTATAGAGCGAGGAGAAATATTTGAGACACCTCAATTCGGGTAATCTCCTTTTTTTTAATTTTAACATATGGTGATGTTATAACGATGTAATTTTTAGTAGTTTCTTTTCTTGTTATATCCGAAACCACTGAATTTAAAATTTGAGTAGACTTCAATATCCCTCACTATTCCAAAACATGGCTTGTTCTGTACACTTTTACATCTTGGAAATTATAATTGTACAACAATGTGTGATCTCATTGGTTTTCTTTCAGCTTTTAATTATCCTTTTACTGTGGAATCATCATTAAATGTGAGTAAGCAACGTCAATAATGAAATATATATATATAATAGGTAGTGGAGCTGTGACCTTAATGGCTCCTGTAAATGATTTCCATTTCACTAATCGTAGGCATAATTTCCCTCTTTGGTATGTTATCATCAACACACGACGTCCTACAAACTTGGATTGCCTCACGTTATCAAACCACATCTGTACTGAGAGATGAAACGATGCTATACATGCTATTTAACCTTTAGCAAATTTATAAGTACATAGGCAAATAAGGCAAAACCATGTTAATCAGATGTTCTTTTTGTAGTCAAAGTTCAATTATTAAGGTCTATTAAGGCTTAAGACTTGAAATTAGCAACTTTTAAAAGATGATTATGGTCAATTTGCACTGTATAAGAATGAATATCCAAGACATTATGTATAATCATTGTAACAAGCCCTTCACATATTGCCAAATGTAAATAGGAATTAAAGTAGAATATATCTTAAATGGTGGTGAGTTTATACAACATGCTTGTGTATGTTATGTGCGGTTAGATAACATTTATCATACCATGCACGTAATTTGAAACCTTAAATTATTTACCTCGAAAATCCCATACTGTGCTCATTTATTATTAGTCCACTTGAAGTGGTTTCCTAAGATGTAAAATCTGGAATTGCATTGTACTATATTAGCGGATAATACAATTTGTTTGTCTGCCTTGTGTTACTATTAATTTACATCGTTATAATACTGTATTTATCCGTCTCACTTTTATACTTTAGTTCGATGAACAAACCGAATTCAAATGTCCTACGTTCATCACAAATAGGTGAAGTCAATGCTTCATCTAACAAAGTAATGTAAATCTGTATTTTTCTTCAATTTTCAAATTCCCTATTCATGCTTATTGGTATAATGAGAAATCTATACCTTAAGATGATACCAAATTACATATAGGGTGTGTAGTTTCAGCCATATACGGTTATTCATTAGTGATAATTTTGAAACTTAGCACTATTCTTATTGTCTTGATCACTATTGTTATCAGTTCTAGTCCCATAAATTCTGATATCACAATGTACAACATTTGTAAATAATAACTAAAATGCATTTAATGCAATATTCGACAGATTTTTGAAGAGTATTATGCAATTCTCATATCATATACGTATATTTAAAACTGTTGTCCATGCAGTATGCTAACAATTGAATTTCTTAGTTCTTAAACATTTACTTACATAAATACCGCAAAGTGATGAGAGGGAATCCTACTGACCAGTCAGTCGTAATTAACTTAGAGTCTGGCATAAATGGATATTAACTTAAACTGTTATTACCAAATTGTCACTGTGGAATCACATTAACAAGAGGACTGACATTGTATTCAAATGATATAGTATCAATGATAATGAAAAAATAAACTGTAAACATTGAGAAGTTAGTTGCGACAAGTCAACCGATTGTTTCATTTAGTCTTTAAAGATCCTACTTGTTAACCTACCTATATATGCTTGTCAATATTTTCCAATGCTATCGTTTTGCATAAACTAACAAGAAATAATTCTAATGGTTCTCAGTTCACTAGATGACTACTAACCAACACGTTTTTTTTTGCAAAATCACAATTGCGTCTTTATCCATTGATATTTACTGAGTGATAGTTAATCATCCCACCATTTGTATCCTACAGATGTCAACTTCGTCGAAAAAAACTAGTAAAACTTCAAAACAATGTCAAATAAATAGTCCCAATTCAGTCGTTACAAATCAAGAATCTAGCATACGCTTAGTCCCTACGGATTACGACAGTGAAAGCACAGATAATGACAATATTACTGTTAAAGATAAATCTTCCTGTGATATAATCGATCCTACTACAGAATCTGTAGAAAAGGTAAGATTTTGATTATGATGACCGAAGGTATAGGATATGTGACTTGTTTTACAGGTGAGACTATAATTTTTGGACGACCTTTGAGAGACGCTAGACTGAGCTTGAGAGTGCCCATCTAATAACGAGGACCAAATGAGGGTTATAAACCTGTGTGAAGAATTAAAATTATGATTTACAGTTGATGGTTAAGGTTAGGAATTAGATTTTTCAGAAGGGGGGTCATCACAAACTGACATGAGCTATCATGCCAAAACGCTATTTATTCAAATGGATGAGTTAACTTCGCACCAAAATCCAAGACCTGTTATCTTATACGTGATTCGTTCGTCCATAAATTATAGTCTCGCCGTTTTATACTATGCTCATTTCGTTTCCAAGATAAATTTATAACGTAGTGAGTTATTTCATAGTGCTCCTCAAGCATATAAACGGAGGCAACAGAAGAACCCAAACACGAACATTAAAATTTAGACATATTATCTTTTCGGAGTGTTTTATGGTCTTCATATATTTTCTGCTGTTCAAATTTAATCATGACAAATCACCCAGTCATTCATACTTGTCTTATTTTGAGGATGACAAGAAAACTCTCTCGAAAGGGTGCATGAAATTGTTGGGGAAGGGGGATTGTGTAGTAACGATCACACGGAAATAACTTCACTGCCTTCTCGTGGCGGGGGGGTTGTTTACAAAATTGAGAGGACGGAAAGCGAATGTTCGTCGCTCTAACCGCGGTGGACATGGAGGATCCACCTAGGGGAGTTGGAAAACCCTGATTCCGAACCAATGATGCACATGGGCTCCACGATCCTGAAGGAACAAATGGCACATGAACCAATCGTTGGTCACCGGCTACCATGGGACTGCATCTCCTTACGATGCTCCACTGCCTCGTGGATCAGACCTTCAGGTCGAAGGTTCCGGGTGTGGTCCCCCAAGAAAACCATCTGCTTCGGTTTGGGCACCCGGGCAATATCCCAGCCCTCACACAAATCGAATGATTTTACGTGGCGCATAACTATTTGGTGTCTCCTTGTACGAATATCTATGTGTTAAAATGAAATTTTAAAAAATCATAGTTTTTCTATCATTGAGATCTAAAATAGGATGATAATTCTACATCTGCTTCGCTATCCTTAATACTCAACTAATTTACAAAAGTATTTTAAGCAATAAATTGTAATAATATTTACAAAAATAATAACAAGTTCTGTCTCTCTCTTGAAATTACCCAGAAATATTCGTTTAATTTTTAGCTCAATAATACTTCAAGCAGTCGACGTCGAAAACGCGGACGAAAGCAAAAGGGCGACAAGACCAATGATAATCCAGATAACGAAAATACTGAAAATTCTCAAGATGATCCATTTGCATCGCATCCTTTGGTGAAGCTACAAGTTAAACGACGACAATGTCTAAGTGACATTCATCGTATACATAGTCGTCCAACGCTACTACAGATGGTAGGTATATTTTACTTGTCTGTCAATAATTCGACTAGAAAATATTTAGAGTTGCCCGACCGTTGTTGGTACATTGACGTGATGGTCGGGCTTGCCTTTCGTGATGAAGCAGCCGAGCTATACTGGCTGGAACAACCGTTCCTCAATATCCTACTATGTCAGACAGGTCGGTTGAAGAACGGTAAAACCAAAAGCAAAAAACCTAAGGTCCGAAGGCGAAGTCGTACTGCTGACTGTACTTAAGTGTGACAGCAGTAAGGTGTTTCCTTCAGAAGACCAGCATGACAGCAAGGCTGCCTTCCCACAAGGAGGGGTGGGGTTAGAAAAGGTCGACTCTAAAAATACACACTCCGCCTTACCCCACGAATATCCGCCTCCGGCGGTAAGGTCTCAACAAGTACGGACTAACACGAAAATTACTGACAAAAAGGTCATGTGTGACCGACCTCAAGCAGCTATCCCTTGGGCACTGCGATCACACTCTCAGGTCACTAAAACCACCTGCAATCCAATTTCCTTTTCAAGTACCTCCAGAAGAACCTTTCCACGGTGTGGGCAACTGGGAAATGATAACCGCCCTCATACCTCTAACAGCACTCAAGACTGATTTAGACTTGATTTATTTAGATTTTATAGCACTAGGGATATATAGATATTATGGAAACCAGCATAAGTGAAAGTTAGTGGTATACCCTTAATGGTATTTCTACTATAACTAAAAAATATGTACATCATCCTAATACTAATTAGTACATTTACAGAAAAATTATTCACAGCTACCGTTATCAATATTAAAGTGGATTATAGTCGACTTTAACAAGATTATTCTGTATTATTTTAGGACCAGTGAAATGTCGTTGAGCCCTAACCAAATCATCCGGCAGTTGGGTCATTGAATATCGAACAGATAATCTATCCCTATCAAGTTCAAAGACAACCAATGTGCATGAGTTAATCATACTCCATGAACTGGCTTATGCGGTGGTGGTCTCACTAATTCTTACTAATACACTTCCATAATAACGTCCTTTGTGTTATACGGTCTTTAAAGCAGTCATGGACTGGCCTATGCGGTGGTGGTGAATCAGTTGGGAATCTTCATCGACTGAGATGACTGGGTCACATGTTACCCATGCCTGAACACCGATTACAACGGCGCGCAATGCTGACTAATGTTGGGGATGGTTGGAAGAAAGTTAGGATCGGTCTAACCAAAACGTGGCACCAGTCTATAGAGTTGTTAACTTTTAGTCTTAGCCATGTTGGTAGATGCAGACTACTTGGTTGGGGTCCATACGACTATCGTAACCAGTGGTTGGAGACTGTGTGTGACATGGCTCAGAATCGACCACAGTGGTGTCGGTGTATACACTCTGTCTCCCCTTAAACTATGAGATTAAGATCACTTTATATCTTTCTTCCTAATTATCTCTTCCTGTTATATGCCTATATGAAACCTTTCTTTTGTACATTACTACCATTGAAGTGACTACTTCTATTAATTCAGTGTTCATCTTGTGGTAATGAGGTATGGCAACTTGAACCGATGCACATATGTACCTGGTCCTAAGTTGTAGCTGACTGGTCTCACTAACTTCTCTGTACTCATTCTTATATTTACGTATTAACATCCCTTGTGTTATACGGTTTTCAAAGCAGCCATAATAGTACTTTGATACGTTGAAGGGGTAATTCACGTTAGATGCTGATCGCGAAGTATGACTTCGAAGTTAGCTGGTTCATCACACTATTCCCGCTTAACTTGAGCAGACTCGCAATCCTCTACAATGTATATATGTATATATACATCATTGTACTTTAACGATTATTTGACATAGTTATCAGTTGACATAAAAATAACTCACTTCTTAAATGATAATAACTATAATTATTATTTTAATTGATATTTTTTTCACAATTACACTGATTTAGTTATTAGCTGAAGATATTCGAAAAGAACGTAATCAACTTATGCAATGTATTCGTTACATTGTTAATGAGAATTTCTTTCAAGTATAACACATTTCAAATGACACTGATCTATATATTTTATAATAATAATAGTAAGAAGAAGAAGAAGAAGAGATTTGTCAAAAGCTGAAAAATAAAGTGTAATCATATTTGTATATAAATATATTGAAGAAAAATATTGTGTATATTTTCATTTCTTTAATTTGTATCTAGTTTAGTAATGATCAATATTTTCTGTAAGGTGTCCATTCTGGATCTTTAATATTCATGTAAACTTGTGTTTTTCGTGGGCGACCAGCCTTAGGTTGTACAGTGATAGGATTAATATTATTAGATTGTTTAACCCAAAATGAAGTACCTTGAGGAGGATGTCGTTTTACATGTGTAAACCTATGAGATTTACGTTTTCTTTTTCGTCCATCCGGTTTAAGATCACCTGATGCGGAAAGTAAAGGAAGTGATCTTGTATGAGCTTTGTATTCTTTAGTTCTTCTTGATTGTTGGAATTCAGAGGGACTTAAACTTCTTGATAAGTTTTCTATTGTAGAAGTTTTATCTTCTTCTATAGACTTGGATTCCTTATTAACTGGTGTCAATAAGTGAACGCTGTGCCACCAACGGAAGCATTGTGCTGAACAAATACGAGGAAAACCAGGACATGCTGCACAAACCATGTTAATGGTCATTCCATTTTGTACTTGATTTCTTAACTGACAAGCATGACACTGCACATTTTCATTAGTTGAACTATTATCAAAAGCACCAGGCAACATATCGTGATATAGTGAATCTATAGAGACTAGTCTATGTTTATCATTTGTTGCTCCGCATGCATCTTTAATGGAGTTTGTTGTGAGGGCATCAGAAATAATATTTGTCTGATTGTTAGCAGATACTTTATTTGTAGCTTCTTTGTTTGTGTTCTCCGTGTTACACATCGGTTGATCCTCTTGACTGTTATTGCTTGGCAATTCATCATTGTTGACTGGTACAGTACTTTCTGTAAAAAACAATACGGTCACTGCATAAAGTGGATGCAAATTGGTATGAAAACTTTATTGCAAAAGAATAAAGTGACATTAGATTATCAGTCTTGCAATCTATAAAACGACACACCGAAGGCCAAAAAACTACCAAGACCGAAACCTTAAGTAATTTACTTCACACTTTGTATTTGTGTTGTGATTGGAATCGAAAGCATAGCTCTCACCTAAGCACGTTAAACTGCGGTAGGGATGCACATAATTGTTGTACAGTTATGGAATCTTTAGTTCTACTTCTGGTTATTACACCACTTATCTTTCCATACATTGCGTTGCCCTTTGAATAGATATAGCCGAATGTACAATGAAGTGCTAGCATCCCTGTTATTTATTTCTGAAGCCAAACCTCTAAGCTTAGGATATTCAACGACTTTATATTTGGTCGCTGTTATCACCAAATGATCGCCCACATTTGGTGGTAACACTGTGTTGGTTATGTTGAGATCCAGTAGTATTCATATTCGTATTGACCACAGTAAAACATCAATTTTGGTGAATTGGCCGCTGCGCTTGTGGTTTTGGCGGCTTTCATCTAGTTTATCTGACGAACAGAAATGTTCATGGTATGACCTCGTGAGACCAAGAATCAGTGTGTCAGGTTAACAAGTCGGTACTCTAAAAGCACTTGACTCAATGTTTCATACTACATGACCACTTGTAGTCAATACAATGCCTGATTAAATATAGTTTTACTCAATCTGTTTGAACGTCAGTATTTAGTTTAAGTTTTTGTATTACAATGTTCATTGCAAAGCAAAAGCATTTATACGAGCATTAACCCATTTCTACATAAGTACCTCGTTTCTCATAAGAGGATTTAAAAACTAACGGGTGGCGGTACAGTCTCAGTAATGAGCTTGACTTATACTTTGTCTACAATCATGGAACTGGACACAATCCCACCCGACTGGTCTTAATTGATGATCATCCTAATTTGTGAGAAAGGAAGTAAATCTTCGTGTGACAATTGCAGAGAAGTCAACTCGAAGAATACGGTGTCCGAAATATTAGCTTAACCAGGGTATGTAAATAGCGAACTTCGGAAAACCATGCTGGTTTCAGACCTGGACGTGGATGTATAGACCAAATGTTCACTATTCATCAGGCTCTGGAACATAGACATACCTCCTGATGTCCGATTATAATTGTTATTCTTGACCTTAAGGCAATATTTTATTATTAATTGTGAGGTTCTGAAATGGTGTATTATTAAAAGGCCCACCAAAGAAGTACATTAATCGTGTATAGGCTCTCTACTCGAACACCACTGATCGTGGTGTCACTAGATTTTTCAACTTTAAGTTTTTCGCAGGACTGTTCACTTTCTTCATTTTTACTTACTTAGTCATAGACATTCTTTTACAGATAACTCTCTCGTCGTCTGAATTTTCAGGGGTTGATCCCCTAACCTGAGATCTGCTTGTTGACGTATAACATTTAGATGACTTAGTTCTATTTCGTAAAGATGCTGGAATAATACTTCTCTCTTTTCGCCTTAAGTAGCAATGCATGTTTTGGATGCGATTCTTTCTTTCCAAATGCAGAATGTCGCTTCAGGAGCGGCCTGCGTTAGCGTACGATGGGGAGTGATATGGTTGAACGCATAGACTGCTCCACTTATTTTGAGTCTCATTAGTCTTGATGGTCTGATTCCTGACAAAGTCATGGAACGGATTCAGAAGGCTTGATTGGCTTATAGCAATCTGTATCAGATGTGATGTGTGCGAAATATCCGTCTCCCAATAAAAGAGTTTACTCCACAGCAGTTCACTCTGCTATACTTGGCGAGTGTGAAATAGTCATTAAGGATAGATATTCGTAGGGTACTGATGTTCAACCATAGGTGTCCATGAATCACTAGTCATGTTTTGGGACCACCGACCAAGCAACTCCAAGTTGATGATAAAGTACTAGGTAAGGATGTAAAAATGATTGGTGAGGTAGTAAATATGCAACAACTGAGGTGGTTGGGGCATGTGTCGCGCATGCCCCAATCACCTTAGTCTTTGAAGTCACCGACAAATTAACTGGGTTATGTTAATAGGTGTAGACAACCTGGTTGAAGCCCGCGTGATAATTGTAACCAACGGTTAGAGACTTCGGGTGAAATGCTCCAGAATCCTTCATAGTTACGCATGTGCACCCACTTCTTGTCTACATGTAAAACCTGAGCAAAGAAATCTCCTTACAGCTTTTCTATGTTTCTATACCCAAACCTTTCCTACTACCCCGGGATTCATCTTCAAATAATTCTATATCGCTGTGCTAATGTGGTAAGACAACTTGATCCGATACACATATGACTGAGAAAACTGATTTTGAAATTCAAGACCGTCACTGACCGAAGACTAAACCGCCTTTGCAAGTTGTCTTCAATCTAACTGTGATTTTATAGGGACAAAGAGAAATACAGTGATTGACTTATTAGAAGAATGGATCAAGAAATCCTTGATAATGAAAAAAAAACACAAACCCCATATATCTACTTCGTTTAATCTTCAAGTTATCTGGTCTTATCTAACTTTTCAAGCTGGACTTAACTCAATATTTGTCTTGCCAGGCCAGCCTATTCAGCATGAACACAGGCTGATTTAAGCACTATGAAATAAAATAGTACATTTAAAGCTTATTGTGGTTTACACTCGTATTTAATTGCTGATTGAGTGGACATATTTGTTCTTTGTCAACAATGCTCTTAGTGAGTAGAGCATGATATATTTTTAAGATTGCATTAAAATAACAAACTAAGGAATCCTATACTTAACAGGAACAAGTCCTATGACGTTCAAACCTAGTACTTGCATCTTGTATTTTACTTGTCAGTAAACCATAAATACAACAAACATTAGAATGCTCTTCGTTTTCAAATGACTGACTTGAAAAGTAGACGGAGTTTTCGATAGTTCATACTTTTTATATTTGCGTATGTGAGTTGAGTCGCCGGGAGTCACACCTCATTCAAGAGTGCCAAATTACCTATATAAGTTCCTGTAGTGTTTTCCAAAACCTGATATTTATTTTCAAGTACTTATCGAACATGCTGATACCCCTTGTTTTGATGCAGTTATGGTTATCCACTACCAAAAGAATATAGTCCCACTGAGTATTCTAACAACTATAGCCTTACTAATATTTGAAAGCACCTACCAACTAAAAAACTACTCACGATAATGGACGGACACCTACCATGATCTACTTGTTCATCAGTCTCACTCTCGTCACGAGTTTGTTGCTGACATTGAAACTCTCCATTTAGATTCTAAAAATATTTCATGAAGATTTCCGCACGACTTACTGAACTTGTGTCTAGAAGCAATGAGCTAAGCAGTCCTTAAAGAAAATTTTACCTTCTTGTTTGATTCGGACAATGGCCTCTAGAGTTCTTAAGTGCTTTTTATGTGAGTAAATAAGGTCGACGACACGTTGCTGAAGCTCACAAGTCATTTTGAAAGCAGAGTTGAGATCAATAAATCGCATCTCACCAGCTAAAGTACTTGCATCTTGTATCTGAAAATATATTATATGAAGGGTGGTGGATTTACTGTTGCCGCAAACAGTCTAAGCAACTCTCGCGAACCACTAGCCATAAGAAAATGTCAGACCCGCGCCATAAATTTGACTTAATAATCCCGCTTACACTGACCTACAAGATATGTCTAATTGGCCAAAGGCAGTCCTAGTGTTAGGTAACTTCTTTCCGGATTTCTTTGTTCTCGCTTCTTGTTGTTTGGGTATAGTTCCAGGTACTTGGTAATGTTCAGTGGGTGGTAGCCTAGAAATTCGACTATACTTATTTTAGTCAGTTAGGTAGTTTGCTGTGGATATGCATGTCTTGCGATTTGAGTGAGTGCGTTTGTCTCAGGAAAAAAATTTTCTGAATACCAGCAGCTATCAGATAGTCAGAAATTAGGTTCACTCGTTGTATGTAAAAATAGCAAGATAAAAATTTGTGTGCTAATAGAAGACAAAGGTTTCAAGAACAAATAAATGAGTTAATCCAGCTTCAGTTTGGAAAGGACAGGAGGCTTGATGGCCTGTGTTAGTCATGGCAAT